CCTGTGGCAAGATGTTCTGCTCCTGGACTAGCTGGGTGGATCTATCCTCTACACTTTCTGCAGGGATTGCAGCTGCAGGGTTACACCTCAGGCATGTATGTCACACCTGAGCTGTACCTGGAGGGGGCAAGGTGAAGTAGGGGGAAGAGGAAGCTCTCCCACACACTCACTGGACCTGGGCTAAGACTGGGTCCGGAGGTTCCCGGAACACCACAAAATTCCTACTCAGGGTGCGGGGTGCGCAGGTGCTGTGGAGTGGAGGGGGGCGCCTCAAGGGGGTGGGAGAGGGTCCGGCCCACGCTGCGCCTTGGCTGGGACTGGTCCCGCTGGCGCAGGGTAGCAGGAAGCTCTCCATACACTCACCAGACTTGGGCTAGGACTCTCCATTACTTTTTTAAGCTCCTCTATTTAAAAAAATCTGTGTCTAGTCTAGATTCACTAACCATATTCTTATTTTGTTTATCATTGTCCTTAATTATGTCAAAATATTTCTGATTTTCTGAAGTCTCATTCATCTGTGTTGTTACTTCTTTTACCAAATCAGGAAGTTTGGCTGGGTGGCTTTTGATTTCTGCCCTCTCCATCCTCCCGGATGTGCCTTGGACAAGGTGGCAACCTGGGGTTGCATCTTTCTGTCATGTCTTCTTCTTTTCTACTTTTAAAAATTTGTTTTCTGTGTCGGTGCTTGCAAACTGCTTACAGTAGGTAAGAGGAAATGACTGTTTCTCAGGCGTGTCTGGCCCCCGTTCTTTGGTCCTAGGTGATGTTCTTGCTTGTGACCTCCTGACAGTCTTGGTACTGCACTGTGTCACCCTGGCTGAAGTGGTGCCATCAGTAATGACGAAGGCATCGAGCACAGACTAGAAAGTGACAAGCTGGTAACTCTTAATTTGCCACCTTTAACCAAGATTTGTGGTTGTATAACAAAGTCTAAAACAAATCAGAAAATTACATTCAGAAAATATCCTCTCAATAGAACAGATTTCCCCTTGGGAAAAATTTAAAAGAGATAACAAAAAATAGAGAAATAAAAGAAGAAAAAGAGGGCTGGCGAGATAGCTCAGCGGACTAAGCGCCTGCTCGGGCAAGTAACGAGTCCAGGGTTTGATCCCCAGTCCTACATAGCATGCTGACCCTGGCCCGGGCATGCTGCGCCAGCCCCTGAGACCAGGCGTGGTGGCACATGACTGTAATCCCAGTGCTGGGGAGGCTGAAAACAGGAGGATCACTACGAGTGAGAAACTATCTTACTGTCTTCCTGGGCTAGTGCTGTTGTCCTTCAAGTTTAAGAGAAAAACTTTGTCTTTGTAAGAGAAGACTATTCTGGTAATTAAAAAGGAAAACTCTCATTACTCTTAAGGGAGGGAAGGAAGGAAACATTGTGATGTAAGTTACCATAACTTGATAATTCCATTGAAACTTACGAAAGTGGGAATTTACTGAGTTCAAAAGTGGAATATAAGGGCCAGCCAGATAGCTCAGCAGACTGAAGTGCCTGCTTAGGTAGAGCACAGCAGCCGGGGCTCGATCCCCAGCGTGCCCCGCCAGCCCCGCCCCCAGGGCACGATGAGATGGCGATTGAGGCTCGGTGTGGTGGCACGTGTCTGTAATCCCAGCGCTTGGGAGGCTGAAAACAGGAGAATCATATGAGTCCGATCTGCGTGGTGAGATTGTATAGATCCTGTAGACCTTGTCCTAGATACATTTAAAAAAAAAAGTGGGATATAGTGGGAAACTACACAACATTCACTTCATGCCTGGCTGGATCCAGAATCTTAAACGTTCCTCCTGTTCCCCAGCTGTGTGGCCTTTATTTCCTCCATTTGGCATGGGGTTGGTCTGCAGTGTCCTCTGTACTGGGAAACATCTCCGGAAAAAGAGAGCCCATTTGATGCCCCACGGGAGGCCTCTGATGGGTCAGTCTGTATCACATGCCCATTTGAGAGCGTGCGTGCGCGTGTGTGAAAGAGAGAGACAGAGAGAGAGACAGAGAGAGAGAGAGAGAGAGAGAGAGAGACAGAGA